AGCAGCTGCTGTCCCAAGCTGCTGGACAGAGAGTGAAAAAAGGCACGTAAGAATAGATGACTGCTGAGACTCCGGGCCCATCAGCATGGCACCAGCAGAGACAACCAACCTCACATTTTTGGTCCCTCAATCAGCATCCCCTTGAACTCCAGCTCGCAGAGCTTCCCACGACATCCAGCTGGAGCTTGGTCCCCCCTGGAGAAAGCTTTTGGGTCAATTCAGACTCTTCACTTGTGCTCTCAGAACCTTTGGCTGGGAGTTTATAGTTCCGTGCCCACCACTGGCCTCCCTCCCTGCCGGCGGCCGCTGCTCAGCATCGTGGTGGGAGCTGTCACCAGAGCAGGGAATGGCACACCTCAGGAGCACAGCAGGATGGAGCACAGCGGGGTCACATGCAGGAGGACTCTGGACAGCTCTTGACAATTAGCAACAGGGCAGGATCTCCTGAGGGGCCAGATGGGAACGCAGCGATGTCTGGCGGGGCACGCTGCCTGAATGTTCAAATACAGAAACAGATGTTAATTACCCTGCATAGCCAGGACATCATTACCAGCTACATCTCCTGGAGATTCTGAAGTACAAATTCCTCTGATTACGCCAAACATGCCCATCCCACCCCCAGAAGCCATGACGTTTGAGTAGTTGCCTCAGCAAACCTCCATCCTCTGAGATATTTCCCCTTCTTCCTTCATACTCTCTGCTCTCAAAACAACCTGGTTTAATGAAATTCCTGCTTTGGGAAAGTGCTATCTCCTTTGGGACGGGCTTTTAGCAGATGGAGGCAACAAGAGCCCTTGTCCATAAGTGTCTGGCTCTCCAGCACACTCTCACTTCCTCTATTTGAGGCTGGGGAGGGAGGACAAAAATAAGGATTCACCTGGCACCATGTGATCAGTGAGCCTCTTCAGCAGCATGGCAGAGCAAGGGACCCCATTCTGCCCCTCACCTTATTCACCATCCCCACAGCCACACCATCAGATGCAGCATGATACCCGTGGGGGAGGTGATGGTGAACTCACAAAGAGCTTTTCTCTTCCAGCACTCCCCAGCACTGACAGTTCCAGGCAGTGCGGAGAAGGTGCCCTGTGGTGAACAGCTGGACAGGTGCTGCTAACAGAACCAGGCAGCAGAGGGAGGGTGTACAGAATGGGCCAGGAACACCACTGGGGACCAGTAATGAGGAAATCAGGGACTGATTCAGGAACTCTTCAGGCTCAAAAGGACCACCCTGATCCTTTTAGCCCAAGGGTCTCTGCAGCTACACAGGAATTCCAGGCCTACAGCACCTCCAAAGAACTTGCTGAGCTGTGGGAGATTCAGGAGGGAAAGGCAGTGAGACCAACACCAGCAGACAGAGCAAGTGCCACATCACATCAGCATCCTTGCACATTCCATGGGACAGGAAGGGAAAGCACTCAGCACCCAGCAGCTCAGCACAGACCTGCTGGGCAGGGCTGAAATTCCAAGGACTTCCTGAGCTCTGCCTGCTGGCCTGAGTCTGCGGGAAGCAGACTGACAAGGGGCAAGCTGGAGAGCAAGACCTTGACCACATCAGTGCTGCAGCCTCTGTGGGTTGTGGGTGACCACAGCAGAGGACAGAGCTCAGCACACAAAGACCCTGGTGCTGTGCTCCCACTTCCACAGACCAGCACAAACACAGGGGATTTGCTGCCAGCAAAGCTGTCCATGAGCAACTTTCTCTGCAAACCTTTTTGTTACAGGAGCAGGACACAAGCTGGGAAGCTGCCTGTGATATCCTCAGTATACTGAAATCACCTGGGCTGGGACTGGGAACAAGATGCTGAAGGGAAAACTTTGGTGCCACTGGTGTCACGTTAGAAATGCAGCTGGGCAGCATCACTGGAGGACAACAGCTTTTTGTCAGGTCTTGGTCTCTATATCACCTACTTGAGAATGCACTGACAGCCCTGAGGTTTGGCAAGGGCTGCTCACGCCAGGGCTGGGGCAGGACACCAGCTCAGTCCCCTGACACAGTGTCACTGCCACCGTCCCTGATGCTGAGCCTGCTCAGGCCCACAGCATTTCCTACAAAAGGGGCTGCACTGCAGGAACAGAAAAGCTCTTTCTTTTTTTATGAACACTCATTAGAGTTTACACCGTTGGCAAAGTGTGGAGGCACGCATTGGTGGAGGAACAGAGATATGGTTCCAACACTGGTTTTAATGTGCAAGCCTAAAGACTCTGCTTCAGTTTTTAGAAATCAAACTTGATCATCTCAAGCTGGCAAAAATAGCCCCATGTTCCCTTGAGTTATTTTCTTTTCAAATAGGCAGGGTACAGCACAATAGGAAATATCAGCAGTTATGTATTCAACCTCCAGAAACCCAACGGGCCAATTCCAGCAACCCACGGCAGCTTTCCAATCCTCCCTGATCTATTTGCTGGAGTTAGTCTGAAAAGCAGGCTGCCCCCGAGCCATTCAGCAAACTCCACGTCCCACTAATTACATCAATATAAATGTATTATCTTGGCTGTCAAACACGGGCTGCCTGAACAGGACAAGGCTCTGCCATGGAAATGCAGGAAAACAATTGCTCTTTCTGCTGGTGACACATTTCTCTGGATCCTATTTCCTTGCCAGGGCTCCCCCTTCTCCCTTCTGCCCAGGCACCAGGGCACCAGCGTTTTTTTCTTCCAGAGCAAGAGGAAATGGCACACAAAAACCCCCCTCATCCTTTGAACAACTGAACAGGAATGAATTTTGGGAACACCACCGGCATTTCCTCAGCCAACCTGAGAGCTGCCAGCACACGGGGAAGGGAGCTGTGAGGGCAGGAGTTAAATGTTTCTCGTGAGCAGGCAGCAGCTCTTCTGCCTCTCTTGGCTTCCTCAGCTGCCATTGCTAAACGCAAGGGAAGTGTCAACACTCCAAACAGCAAATGTGACAGAAATTCGGAGCAGCTCGGTGACTGTGGCCTGGAGAGCAGGGAGCCTCTCAGAAGGCTCCAACAGCAAGCAGCAAGGTTGAGGCAAACACAGGCAGATGCAGAGGAGCAGGGAGACAGCTCACTTCGCTCCAGAGAGTGGGATTATGACGGAAAATGAGGAGGAAGCCACTGACTCACCTGTCCCACCCGCATAAGCAGCTTTCCCACCACAGGCTGCACCGAGTGTGACCTTGATCAGAGCCCCAGGTTCCACCAAATCGGGGGCTCACAAGGTTCTCCCCAGCTCTGGGCACTGGGAGGAGCCATGGTGGCAGGACACTGGGCTGACACACACTGTCCAAATCTGCCTCCTCTGACCGCAGGCAGCCACAGTCCCTCAACTCCAGCTTCCCTCTGCTCACTTGGAGAAATGCCACAGGGTCTGATCCTTCCCAGACCCCTCTGCTCACAGGAAGGGTCACAACAAAGCCAGAAAAAAGCAAGCCTGGATTCAGATGAAGCAGAAGATGGGAAGAAAACAGCATTTCTCCACTGAGGAGCAGATGATGTTTCCACTAGCAGGGAACAACACTACCATGGACACATGACACAGGCTGAGTCTCTCTAGAGCTCACGTGTAACCAGTGCAGACTTGGAAAGCTCCCACAAAACCTTCGGGACAGAGGAGAGCAGCGTGTTTTCCACGAGTTAAAGCCAACTGCACTCAGCCGCCTGAGGGAACACCAGAGCCGTGGCCACTTCCCTCTGCAAAGCCAGTGGAATTCTGAGCAAAGATAAAGGCTGCCCAGAGCAAAGATAAGGGGGGAACAAGCAGGAGAGTGAGGGGTAATCAGTGCATCTGCTGGGGGCATCCAGGTTCCTCTATGGGGTCACCCAGCCCTTCCACCAACACGAGACAGCTCCAAGTCTGGGCATGACGCCTGACCTTTTTTACGTGCAACTTTAGCACTTTTGGGTTGTTTTCCAAGATTTATTCTGATTCAGGAGACACCGTGCCTGGCCCACGCCTCCAGTTCCCTTATGCACCAAGTCATCAGGCTGGAGGAGGCTGCTCTCCCTCCTGCCAAAGCAATCGGGCTCAGCAAACCCAGCCAGGCACATCAGACCTTCAAAGGGCTCTCCAGCCATTCAACCCCTCCTGGGAAGGGACCAGTGTTGGGTCTTGCCTTCTGCCTTCAACTGTTAAAGCCTTGGACACAAACAGAAGCTGATGCAACTTGAAATGAGTTAATATCCCCACACACATAAAATCAGGGTAATTTGAATCATGCCTCGGACAGGTTATGCTCAGACAGCTCAGCCCTGCTCTGGTGCACTCAGGGGCACAAGCCAGGCTGTTCAGCAGGATCTCAAAAAATGGCCAGACAAAAGCCACCAGCAGACTCTCAGAGTCACAGACAGCCAGTCTGTCACCGCAGGTCTGCTCCAGTTTAGGGAAGAGCACAGCCCTGAAGCACAAGTCCCTCCAAATCCCAGATGACAATGTGCAAAGTGTGGCAAAAAATCTCTGCATTCAGAGCTACAGTCTGGGATATGCACCCCTCACCTCCACCTTGGCTCCCTCCAAACACATCTCCCAGTCTCCAACAGCCCTTGACCCACTCACAGCAGTGCAGCACTGTCCTGCACCAGTGCCCCAGGCCACGTGCAGAGAGCAATTCCCACATAACCTTCTGTCCAACCACGGGAACCCACCCAGCCGCATCCCGGGCCTGCAGGCCTTGGAGCGCCAAGCTCCACTGAGATCCCCAGCTCAGAGGAAACTGTATGACATTTCAAACACAACGTTCACATTATCCCATCTCCTCTAACAGGCCCACGGATGACCATCCTGAACAGTTGTTTCCTGGGGCTTGGGGGGATGTATCCCAGGAGCAGGGAGAGCACAGAGCTCAGTAAATGTTGAAGCTGGCAAGTACAGAGCTTCTTCCATCCTCTAAGACTCCTGCATCCAGGACCTGGAGGCTGAGGTGCTTCATCTGCAGCTGAGCTGACATGCAGCAAAATCCAGGGGTCTTGATGAGACACTGGGACCAACAGGCTTAGGATGTTCACGACCCAAGGATAAGAGCCAGCCAGCTGATTCTAAAGGGCAAACTCGCAGAGCCTTGAGAAACTCTGCATAAAACCGTGCTCAGCCCCAGCACGGGTGTCTAAGCTGGAGGTGAGAGTGAAGAACTGCAGGACAGGCAGCCCGGGGCGCTGGGGGCTCTGCCGGGCTCCAGCCCGGCCCCCGGCGGTGCCCCCAGCGGGGCTCCCCTGCCCGCGGCAGGAGCCGGCAGCTGCGACCTCGCCGCGCCGGGCGAAGGCAGCTCAGGCACCGCAGCCTAGCCCGGGCGGTCACGGAGCCGCCCGTCCCCCCGGCTGCTGCACGACCCTCACGCCCGTTAAACCCCTCCGGCTGCGCGGCCGGGCCGGGGCGCGAGCGGGGCCCCGCCGCCGCCGGGTCTCTCCAAAGCCCCGGGCAAGGCACCTCCGGCCGCCCCGCCGGCCCTTCCTCCCGCCCGCCCGAGCCCCGCGCCCGCCCTACGCCGCCGCCGTGGCGCAGCGCCCCGTCCCGGCCGCGGGCGTGCGGCGCGGAGACAGCGCAGGGACCGTCGTGAATAGCGCGGCGGGACTACGAGCCCCGAGGGGCGCCGCGCGCAGGAAGCGGAAAGCGGCGGCCGAGCGGGGCACAGGGAGCGGCGGTTCGGGGCCGGGGCAGGCCCGGCGGAGCCCCGGGCAGCGGCGGTGGTTCGGCGCCGAGGGACCGGCGAGCTCCGGGCGCGCGGAGGGCGCGGGCCGCAGCGTCCGGTGAGGGGCGGCGGGCGCCGTGCGGTGGGCGAGGACTACGAGTCCCAGCGTGCCTTGCGGCCCGTGGGAGAGCGCCGACTCCCGGCCGGGGGTGGCGGCGCTGGCGGCGCTGGGACGTGCCGGGGCTGAGGGTGCCGGAGGGTCCCGAGGGTCTTGGCGTGTTCCGAGTATCCCGTGGCTCCGTTCGTCCGGGGTCGCGGTCTGAGAAAGGCGGGTGCGTGGCCCTGAGCCCTCACACGGAGGCTCCGTCCGCCCCTGAGCGTCCCCGGCGCTCCCCTGGAAGGCGCCGCCGTGAGGGGATGGAGGATCCGGGCGTTCCCTGTGCGGAGCAGAGCCCGCGGCTGAGCCAACCTGGGCAGAAGCCGCTCGTAATTACAGCTTTAATGAGCTGGCGGCACATGAAGCGAAGGTGGAGCCGGCAGGGCTCCGCTGGCGCTGCGGGCGATGTGCAGCCGCGGCTCGGCGTGGGACAGCAGCGGGGCCGGGCCGCGGCCCGGGGCAGCTGCGGGTGCGGCCTGGCCCTCCCGGCCTCCGAGTCCAGACCCAGCCCAAGGCCACACTCGCCGGGTGAAGAAGCACCTTCAAACCCTCCCATCCCACGGAGATGAGAGCTAGCGCAGTTCGTGCAGCACCTGCTGCACTCTCTGTGCCACGCGGGACCCAGCCCGGCTGGTCCGGCACACCCTCATGGGAAATCAGGGGTCCTTGTTCCAGCCAAAGCAGCGTCATTTAAGCCACCAGTCTTGGAGGGCGACTATTGGCTGCTAAGTGGAACAGGACAGTTGCTAAAGAGGGAGAATGTTGTCTTCAGGCTGTTGGACCCTCCCCAAAGGGCACCCCGGGCTTTCTCTGTGGGCAGTTGAGGGGTGCTGAAATGGCAAATGTTCATGAGACCTGTAGGACAATGCAGGGACCAAAAGCCGATTAAGAGCTTGGGCTTCCCTTCATCCCTCTGTAAAATGTAACTGCCAGTCATATCAACACATTTATTTGCAGTAAGATATTTTCTAGAGGCTGCAGACACAGTTCTGCTGCTGTTCTTTGGGGTGGGCCAGGGGAGAAGCAGCTCCATGCTGTCCTCACTCACAGATGAAATTCCTGGTCTGGGGAAATTGAGGGCTCACTGCTCCAGCAGTCCCTGAGGACTGAGCACACAGCAGGAATCCCCAAAATCACAGGATCATGGAATATCCCAAGCTGCAAGGGACCCACCAGGATCATTAAGTCCAACTGCTGGCCCTGCACAGAACATCCCCAGGAATCCTGCCGTGGCCAGTGGGGCTGCCTTGCCCATTGTAGGGCAAAATCTCTCAGGATCCCCTGGGGAAAGGGAGAATTTGGGCTTAAAAGAATCTGCTGCCCCACCATGGTGTTTGCAGTAAGATCTGTCACCAGCTGTGGAGCAGTGGCTGGAGTGGCAGCTTGGGCACTCGGGGACATTCAGTGCTGCACTCTGGTGCCACATGAGGTCCCCTCAGGTGCCCAGGTTCTGGCCCCACAGGTCTCATGAGAGCTGCTGGGTGCCTTCATCCCTGATCTCTTCAGCCTTATGGAATAGCAGGTGGCTCCTCAAAGCTCCCAAAACATGTGTGGGGAGTTGGGTTCAACTCCTTTTGCTGTGCTCAGGTTATTAATGAGTGTGAGAGCACAGCAGAGGAGTCCCTGCTGCTTGTGTGGGCTTCAACATCTTCACAGCACAGACCCCAGCTCTGGCATGGCAGGGAGTTCCTGGCTGGAATTGTGTCACCAGCCTGGCCATCTTTATTTGGAGGATAAATGTATGAAGTGAACTTTGCCCAGTTAGAAAGTGATTTCAGAAAGCAGATGTTTTCAGTGTGTTCAGTTAGGAATTAGAACAGTGGGAAGGTTTGGGTTGGAAGGCAATGTAAAGCTCTTCTCATCCCACCCCCTGCCATGGCAGGGACACCTTCCACTGTCCCAGGCACTGCCAGGGATCCAGGGGCAGCCACAGCTGCTCTGGGCACCCTGTGCCAGGGCCTGCCCACCCTCCCAGGGAACAATTCCTGCCCAATATCCCATCCAGCCCTGCCCTCTGGCAGTGGGAGCCATTCCCTGTGTCCTGTCCCTCCATGCCTTGTCCCCAGTCCCTCTGCAGCTCTCCTGGAGCCCCTTTAGGCCCTGGCAGGGGCTCTGAGGTGTCCCTGGAGCCTTCTCCTCTGCAGGTGAGCACCCCCAGCTCTGCCAGCCTGTCAGAAATTCAATGAACTGGGATCCACATTCCCTAATTTTAACTGGATAAACTGAGGCCCATAACTGGCAGTGCCCCTCACATCTATGGTCACTGGAGAAAGATGGCGGTTTCCAGTTATTCCAGACAAATTCCTGTTCTTGTCATTGATGATAAAGTGGATGAAACATTCAGCTGGTGCAGCAGAGGAATCAATATTGCAGCGAGCTGCATTCCTGGGAATGAAAGGCGAGAGGAATGTCACCTCCTGCTCTGCCCTGAGAAACCTCATCACAGAAAACAATCATTTTCAGGTGTTGTTGCCCAGTTTCTCCTCCACCTGTCATGCCTCTTAAAATGACCATTCCATGACTTTTTCTGGAGCTGCCTGGGCTCTCTGGACCATCCCAAGCTTTTTCTGACCATACAGACCTTGCTTTCCTCCAGCTGCAAAGGTTCTCCCCTACCCAGCACTTCCCAACTCTGACAGAGGGCAGTGTCAGCCAGCTCTCCCTGATGCCTTGTGCAGGCTAGAACAGAGTTAAAGAATAAAGCAGGGATTTATTAAAAGGCCTCAATGGATCCACCTTGGGCAGCACAAGAGCCCAGCCAGGCTGCACCCCAGGTGAACCCAAGATGATCACAAAATACACGACTGGTCACGGGGTCTCTCACTTTGGTAAGTTCTGCTCATTTGCATATTGGAGTTAATTGTCCAATTACAGCTTTAGCCCATGCAGTTCCATCCTCCTTGTTTTTCTCTCTTCAGTCCATGTTGTTTGTGCTCTTGGGCCTGAGATTTGGATCATTTGTCCTTGTCCCCAAATATAGAAGGAATTGTTTTGTCTCCCTACTCTGTGAAAAGAGCTCACCATCCTCTAATATGAAGCTCAGAAGTGCACACTGAAGCAGCACAGAATTTGAAAAATATCAAAGCTAAAACTTGAGGCATCATCCCCATGCCATGGACTCACACAGCTGAGATCCAGCCGTGGATCGATGTGTGTCAGCCCAGACACAGCTCCAGATCCCTCTGTGAGCTCCCCTGGCACTGATCCCCAGCTGCTGTGCCATGGATACCCCGGAGGATGGGAGGTGGCCTGGAGCAGACCCAGCTGGCCAAGCCCAGGGGGACACGCCCAGGGTTGGCAGGGACTGGAGGATGCACAGGAGAATTCCCGTTGTGTTCTGGCAGTGCTGGAACCAGCAGCTCCTGCCTGAGGCACCTCAGGTGAGAGAGAGGAAAGGTTTGCATGTTCCACGGCCCAGGATCTTCCACAGTCGTCGTTTCCCAGGACACCAAACTTGAATGAGCCTTCCCTCAGTTCTCACCTCTGCTGTGACCTCCACTTCACACTGGCAAGTGCCTCTTTCCTGGTGCCTGTCCTCAACCCTTCCAGCTGCAGCCTGGGCAATGAGGAGGTCCTGATGGCTGTCACAGGGCAGGACAGAAAGCCATGTGATCCATCAGTTTGGGAGGAGATCTTCCTCCCTGAGCTGTTGGAATGAAGGTGCAAGGCAATGCAACCCTTGACTAAATATATAATGTATATATATTGTATAAGGGTGAGCAGGCCCTGGCACGGGTGCCCAGAGCAGCTGTGGCTGCCCCTGCATCCCTGGCAGTGCCCAAGGCCAGGCTGGATGGGGCTTGGAGCAGCCTAGGACTGTCAAAGGTGTCCCTGCCCATGGCAGGGGATGGGACAAGATGAGCTTTAAAGTTCCTTCAAACCATTCCATGACTCTGTGATTATGTGTGTGCATCCATCACTGATCTGTGATAAGTTTTTAGTGGTAGGGATCTCAAAAGTGATGCAGAAGATGTAGTGCTGTGTGTAATATCTGTGTGTGCAACACTGAGGGCACTTGAGGGAACAATACAGTACAAATCCAGAAGAATTTGCTTTCATTGTCATGAGAATGCATCACCCACATTTTTGGTATGAGGGAAGCTGGACTCGATGACTTTGAGGGATACAGGGGTGGCCCAGGGAAGATCCAGACGGTGTTTGTGGAGCCCTGTGCTCTTTGCACAGGTCCAGCAGCTGTCAGCAGTGTGTGGTCTGACAGCAGGCTCATGGTTCCTCCAGCTTGCCCAGCACCACGTGCTGTCACCCACAGTGGGATAGCTGAGGGGATGGAGATGAATGGTCCTGCTGTGCCAGGGCATGTTCCAGGTGCTCTTGTCTTTTTTGGTGTGGTTATGTCACTCAGACCTCTCCCTGCTTGAAGGAAAAGTATCCATCCCCTCAACTCAGGGAGGATTATCTGTTCCAAAACCCCCAGGTGATGCCAGGGCCCCACACCTGTCCTTGGGACTGAGTCTGTGCCTAAAATGATCCCCTGGCCCCCACATGATGGGGACATGGGGGATTGGGGTGTCTCTTGGGTTGCTGGAGCTGTGGGAATGTTCATGGCACTCTGGGGGTACTAGGAATTCCCTGCAGTCCTGGAGGAATTCTCACTAGAGGAGAGTTGTCAGCATTTCCTTAGGGGAACTGGAGAGTCCTAGGAGTATCAGGGCCTTCTTAGGGGCATCTGGGAGTATCAGGCATCCCCCTGGGTGTGTGGTGTCCCCAGGAGATGTCACAGTCCACAGTTCCTCACAAGCATTGCACAAATGCACAGGGACCTTGGAGATTTGGGATACTCCAGCTGCCATCAGTGGGGTGGAGGTGTTAGGGGACGCCAGGGAGGGAAGGCCTCCCCAGGTCACTGGCCAGGGGGTGGGCTTGCTGTGGCCCTTGGGCACACCTTGGGGCAGGGGTGGTGACAGGGACCCCCACGGCCTTGGGAAGGACAAGTCTCACTCCCCTGCAGCCCCTCCACCAACCCCACCACCCCTCAACACCCAGGCTCACCCGTGACTCTCTACTTTCCCAGTGCTCCCCACAGCCCCTGCTCACTCTCCCATCCCCTCAGTGACCCCCAGCCCCCCCAGTGATGACCCAGAGGATCCTACTGCCCCACCACTTCATTCCCCACTTGTTGTCCCACCCTGAGGCACCATTTACCCAAGGAAAGAAAGGGATGTGGCTTTGGCAAGGGCCTGGCCTCCATGGCCTCATCTCCTTTGACTGCTGGGCAGTTTTCCCCATGTTTGCCATGGCCCTGATGGTTCAAGTCGCCACCAGAGCCATTGTGAGGGGTTTGGCTGTCCCCAGACACAGCACAGGGGCTCTGAGCTGTCCCCTGTTCCTCACACACTGGCTGGGCTGGTCTCTCATGGCTCCAAGAGGGGATCCTGTCACAGCCACCCAGGTTACCCTTGGGATTACTGGTTTAACCATTCCTATCCCCAAAGTAGCTACTAAAGCCTTCAAATCATAGAATATGTCAGGTTGGAAGGGATTCACAGGGATCACTGCTCTTTCAGAGACCAGTCTTCCCAGTACAAAGTGCCCCAGGTATGTGGGGGCTGGAAGACTCTTCCTCAGAAAGGGCTGGAGGCAGAGGGAAGAGTGGTAAAAAGGGGTTTTGGCAGCCGTGCCTCTTCTGCCACCCTCCCTAGGCAGAGGTGGGATGACAGAGGTGGAAGATACATTTTCACTGGAAGTCTGGCAGAAAGGGTTGGCAAAAAGGGTTTGGTAGAGTGGGGGAGGAGACCAAGCGTATGTGAGGGGCTCAGCTCTGCTCCTTGGAGCAGCCTGCTCCAAAACCCCTGGGATCCAGAGTGCCTCCCTCATCACCCCAAGGCCCACGCTGTCCTTCTGCCAGGTCTCACTGAGAGGTAAGGGCCCTGGACATGCCCAGGATCCAGCAATAACGAACTCCCACAGGAGGAGCACCTGGAATGACACGGACTAAGGAGACAGTAAATGACAGAGGAGCTGAGACAATGCAGAATGAAGACTCTTTTATGGAAGAGACATAGCAGATGCAGCTCTGGCCACATTCACCCACAGAAGAAATGGGCTCCTGGCCATCAGTGGTGCCTGTGGTGCTCGTCTTTCAGGGGTGGCATGATCTCTCCAGTCTCTAAAATCCTGTCCCCCTGTGGGATGAGAGCATGGTGAGCATTCCCTGTGGCATCCAGACTCTCCCTGCACAGCCTTCCTTCAGGGAACCTGCAACTGTCCCCGCTTCCAGGCAAGAATTTCACCACAACTCACTCAGAACACTCTCATTCCCCCAACGTGCCCAGAATGCTGGAATAACATCACAGCAAAATTACCTGGAGCCTTGTACTTGCTTTATCCCTTTACTACAGAACAGAAGCCACACATTTTGAGCCTGTTTTGACTTAAGAGCACTGCATAATCCCCTCCAGCAGTGATCAGTGAGTCCAAACCCAGAGCCCAGAGCCCATGGAGAGCATGGAATCCCTCAAAAATCAACCTGCTGCCCCAGTGCCACTTGTTCCAGCTCCAGGCACAGTCTTGGCCTGCTGAGCTGACCTAACTTAACTGAAAAATTAGGCTGAAGACAGAGGCCAACAGCCTTCAGCATGCTGCTTTGTGGTTGTTTGGGATGGAATATTTTATAATTTTATTTTAGACAGAGCATGATTAGGAGGTGTTATGCCAAAAATGGGCAGCAGTCAGAACGGGCAGAGCCAATCTTCTGTAGAATATTTGCCCTCTGACTTGTTACACCAATCACTAACAGCTCAGAGCTGTTCTTTCTGTTCTCAAAACAGAAAAGACCCCAGACAATGTGGCACTCTCTGCTTCATGCAACTTGTGCCAAGCTGAGCTGACAGAACTCTTTGGGGACACCTGAGTGTGGGGGACCTTCAGGCACAACTGGGACCAAGCCAGAACCAACATTCTCAGAGCTGACAAGGAGGAGAAGCAGAGCCACTCCTGCGTGATTCCATGTGTTTATAATCACTGGGGCTTTGAACAGCCATTCCCAAAGGGAATGTGTTTTCCACCCAGGATGGGCAGCATCAGCCAGGCTCTGACAGCCAGGTGCTACAGAGAGGTAATACTGAAACAGGGACCGTGGACAAGGTGAAAGTGCCCACAGGACCCAGTACATCCCTTGGGAAAGTCCTCACTGGACATTTCCCAGGTGCTGCACAAAGCTCCCTGGAAACCCCTTCCTGTCTGTGTGACACAGCTGGAAGATAAGACAGGACATGAGAGACTTACTGGGAATATCCGTGGGTTTGTCACAACCACACCGTGCGGCGATTTCTGGAAGCAGGGGGAGAACAGAGGGAAAGGGCAAAGAGAGCAGTGTTAGTTACTTGGAGGAAGCACAAAGGATGTTCAAAATGGGCACCACGACCCTTCTGGGATAGAAACTGTGCTAAGCACAAGTCTTGTGACACCTTCCACTACTAGAGAAATACCTGAGGCTGCAACAGCCACAGCTGCCAGGGAGGGCAGGGCTGGCCCCTTTCCCTCCCCACACCAACTGCTGCCCTGCTTATCCCCAGGGCTGTCCCTGCAGGAGAGGGACAATTCAGACACAGCTTTTCTGCTTAGGACACAGGAGAAGCTGGGCACTGCCATAAATCTGGAATGGTTTTGATTGGAAGTGGCCTTAAACCTTCCACCTCCTGCCATGGCAGGGACACCTTCCACTGTCCCAGGCTGCTCCAAGCCCTGCCCAGCCTGGCCTTGGGCACTGCCAGGGATCCAGGGGCAGCCACAGCTGCTCTGGGCACCCTGTGCCAGGGCCTGCCCACCCTCACAGGGAACAATTCCTGCCCAATACCCCATCCAGCCCTGCCCTCTGGCAGTGGGAGCCATTCCCTGTGTCCTGTCCCTCCATGCCTTGTCCCCAGTCCCTCTGCAGCTCTCCTGGAGCCCCTTTAGGCCCTGGCAGGGGCTCTGAGGTGTCCCTGGAGCCTTCTCCTCTGCAGGTGAGCAGCCCCAGCTCTGCCAGCCTGGCTCCAGAGCAGAGGGGCTCCAGCCCTTGGAGCATCTCCAGGGCTCCCCTGGACTCTCTCCAGCAGCTCCAGGTCCTGTGCTGTTGGCCCCAGGGCCGGGGCAGCTCTGCAGGTGGGGTCTCACAAGCGGTGATTCTTTGTGATGAAGTATCACACTAAATTTATACGTAAGTGCTACCCCAGCAAGGCAACACAAGCGGTGAACAGGCCACGGGAGAACAACCTTCCTTCATCTGCAACCGAATGCGAGCAGCACGCTCACACTCCCGCAGTGGGACCACTCCCCGCTCCAACCCCCGCCCTTCCCGGGCCCCCCGTCACCCCGCCGGGCCCGCACGCACCCGCACGTGGTACTTCAGGTAGTAGGTGATGGCCCAGGCGGGGAGCAGCACCCGCAGCATGAGGAAGCGGCCGCCCTGGTAGACCTTGTGCACCTGCGGGCACAGGGACGGTCAGGCCGGGCCAGCGGCGCAGGAAAGGCCGCGCTGCGCTGCCCGCGTCCCGCCGCTCACCTGCTGCCGCCAGGGATCCCCGGGCCGCAGGAAGCTCTCCCAGAAGGCGGCCACGGGCCCGAGCCGCCGCGGCGGCAGGACGGGCTCCCGCGGGCTCAGCTCCTGGTCCCGCAGCCAGCGGCGCCGCAGGGCGCGGAGCTGCTGCACCCGCAGCCTCTCATCCTGCGCGGGGCCGCTCATGGCGCCTCAGCCCGCTCGGCCCGGTTCGGCCCCGCTCGGCCCGGTTCGGCTCCGCTCGGCTCGCTCCGGTCCCGCTCGGGCGCCGTGTCCTTCGCCGCGGCGCGCGGCGCTGCCGTCACGGGGCGCGCGGTTGTGACGCTGCAGGCAGGGCCGCGGGTGTGATGGCGGGGCTGAGGCGGCTCTGCCGTGAGGGGAGCCCGGGAGCCGCGGGTGTCTGGGGAAAGGACAGCGCGGGGCACTCAGCTGCGGGCTCTCCCAGTGCCGCGGGGAACTGACACAGGGAACGGCTCCCACTGCCAGAGGGCAGGGCTGGATGGGCTGTTGGGAAGGAATTGTTCCCTGTGAGGGTGGGCAGGCCCTGGCACAGGGTGCCCAGAGCAGCTGGGGCTGCCCCTGGATCCCTGGCAGTGCCCAAGGCCAGGCTGGGCAGGGCTGGGAGCAGCCTGGGGCAGTGGGAGGTGTCCCTGCCATGGCAGGGGTGGGATGGTCCCGAGTGACCCTTCCCAGTCAAACCCTTCCACGACCCCTCTGATTCAGTTATTCCGATATTCTGTGATTCTGTGTTTCCATGTTTCCAGTGATTCCACGATTCCGTAATTACAATGTTTCCATAATTCTTATGATCCCAGTCATTCACTGATCCAGTAATTCGACGTTTCCCGGATTCCAGGGTTCCATGATCTCCATGGTCCCCTGATCCAAATGTTTCCATGATGCCGGTGTTCCCCTGCTCCCCGTCTGTGATTCCTGATCCCGGTGTGTGATCATTCCCGATCCCGGTGTGTGATCATTCCCCGTCCCGGTGTGTGATCATTCCCGATCCCGGTGTGTGATCATTCCCCGTCCCGGTGTGTGATCATTCCCGATCCCGGTGTGTGATCATTCCCCGTCCCGGTGTGTGATCATTCCCGATCCCGGTGTGTGATCATTCCCCGTCCCGGTGTGTGATCATTCCCGATCCCGGTGTGTGATCATTCCCCGTCCCGGTGTGTGATCATTCCCGATCCCGGTGTGTGATCATTCCCCGTCCCGGTGTGTGATCATTCCCGATCCCGGTGTGTGATCATTCCCCGTCCCGGTGTGTGATCATTCCCGATCCCGGTGTGTGATCATTCCCCGTCCCGGTGTGTGATCATTCCCGATCCCGGTGTGTGATCATTCCCCGTCCCGGTGTGTGATCATTCCCGATCCCGGTGTGTGATCATTCCCCGTCCCGGTGTGTGATCATTCCCGATCCCGGTGTGTGATCATTCCCCGTCCCGGTGTGTGATCATTCCCGATCCCGGTGTGTGATCATTCCCCGTCCCGGTGTGTGATCATTCCCGATCCCGGTGTGTGATCATTCCCCGTCCCGGTGTGTGATCATTCCCGATCCCGGTGTGTGATCATTCCCCGTCCCGGTGTGTGATCATTCCCGATCCCGGTGTGTGATCATTCCCCGTCCCGGTGTGTGATCATTCCCGATCCCGGTGTGTGATCATTCCCCGTCCCGGTGTGTGATCATTCCCGATCCCGGTGTGTGATCATTCCCCGTCCCGGTGTGTGATCATTCCCGATCCCGGTGTGTGATCATTCCCCGTCCCGGTGTGTGATCATTCCCGATCCCGGTGTGTGATCATTCCCCGTCCCGGTGTGTGATCATTCCCGATCCCGGTGTGTGATCATTCCCGCTCCCGCTCGGGCGGCGGGGCCGTGGCGCCCCCTTGCGGCCGGGGCAGCTCGGTGTCCGGGGGTCGCGGGTTCGATCCCCGCTCCGTGCCCCGGGCCGGCGGGGCGGTGCCGCTCCGCCCCCGGGGCGGTTCGTGCTCCGGGGCCGCGGCCCGAGCGCTGCGGGGCC